GGGAGCTGTGGGTGTGGATAGCGAGAGCTGTGTGGAGGAGGGCCCCGAGCTCCCTGGAACCGGACTGATTTGAGCACGTTTACTTTAATCTGAATTTTAAGGTGTGAAACAAAGTAATGAACGGACTTGCCCAGAACTCTGATGGTGTTGCACCATGTTGGACGTCTGGGCATGTTAAGTGAATGAAGCGTGACCCGAGGATGGCGAGAGAGGGTACTTTTTGTTTTGAGAAATCATGGGAAGAGGTCTGAAAATATTGCTAAGAGCATCTGACCATTTCTGATAAAAAGGATTGCTTTCTTGGGCGTGTTGCTCCAAACCTTGTGATCATCTACCCTAGGCACAGCTTTCTTTTCCCTTAATCTCCTAGTGAATATTCAAGAATAGATATACTTGTAGTCCTTCAAAAGCCTCTTCCAGAGTTGTTTCGACACTGAGGCGAATAACCCTCAAGAGGAGGAAAAAAAAAAAACTCAAAAAATAAACAGCAGCTGCCCTCATGGGTTTTTTTTCTTTCCCTCTTTCTCACTTAGTTCATAAAAACCTGGTGCTCCACTGGTTCCCTTTCCCCTTTCGTTTGAGGGAAGAGCTCAGCTCTGGGTGGTGAACAGCAGCTTTGGGCTCCAGCCGAGCCGCTTTCGGTTTGTTTTTGCTGTCCTGCTTGTAGCACAGCATTGCTCTGCTTCTGATTTAGTTTTCTCCTTTCTGCTCTGAGATGGGTCTGCACACGCAGCAGTCTCGCTCCTGAGATCTCACTCGCAATTGTACAAGTCTGGTGCCGTACAGTAAAGCCATGGGCTAGTCACACCTGGGCAGGATGCTGCGTGTGAAAAACCCCTTCTGCCACAGCTTCGCTGTTGGTGCTCGAGTGTCTGGATTAAGGTTAGTTAGGGTACATTTACATCAACGCGGACATGTCTTGTAGTGGTCTACAAGCTTTCCTCCAACACCATGCTTTCCTGCTATTTGCTGCAGCTAGTATCACTGGAGGTTAAATTAAGGTTCCCAGCCTTGGACCTCCCTGTTGTGCAGGGCAGTGGTGTGGCTGGGCTATGTCTCCGTCGCCAGGAGCTCATGCCTCGCATACTGCTGATTGGGGCGAGTGTGGGAAAGTCGGCGGTGTAGGAATGCTTTTTGCATTGGGGGGGGGGGAGGTTCCTACGGGACGCGTATGGTATGGGCGAGCCCCGGGAATCTGAAGAATTCCAGCCTTGCTAATCGGGAATCTGCTATTACGGCAAAAAAAGGGCGACGGCAGAACATGGCACTCTGAATGTACTGGGCAGTCAAAGGGATTGCTCTAATGCTGAAGCGGAAGTATGCTGAGAGATGGGGAGGCAAACTGGGCTAGCGTTGCCAAGCCCCAGCAGCTACGTGGTAGCACACAATCTGGACTGGGTAGAAAGGTGGCTCAGTCCTGTCCGGCTTGGCTTAATTTACCTGTGGCATTATTAAACCTCACTTCTCAGCTGCTCACAAAGACCCAGTGTTTGAGTGTGACTTTTAGACCTAGAAGTCGTTTTGAGCTGATCCAGGTGTTGTGATGAATGAAACCTCTGTTTCCATAGTCTGTCAAAGTGGTGGATTTGCTCTCCCGTCTCCCAAGGAGCACGTTTGGTGGCTAATCTTTCTTTTCCTTTTGTGCGCTGGTTAATCTACCCATCTGTATCATCCTAGATCTCATGTAGCAGTTCTTTGCTCACTAGGACGTCAAGTCATTTGGCAGCTGAAGTGATTCAAAATCCGCCAAAGAATCTGAGTGGTACCAAGGTTGCTGAGTGAAACCCCAGTCCCAGCCTCTTCCTGCCTCCTCCACGTACGCAGAGCCCGTCCCACAACGCGCGAATGAATGCAGAAGCAGAGCCCACCCTGGGCTTGCGAGATTCCTCACGAAGGAGCACTGCCATATGGTCTCCTCTCTGTTTTCTCAGGCTCCTCTGCTCACTAGCATATGTACATCACATCTCTTGCAAGTCCCACTCAAGCGGTGGCAGCCACCCACTTGTCTGAAGCTTGGTGGCCTTTGGTGACCCCTCTGTTCTGTGGAGCCAGAAGAGGAGCCTAGCAGGGAGAGAGGAGAGGGCTAAGGACTCGCTTGCTGCCCCAGTGCGTGGGGGCCATGGTCTCCTGCGGTGCCACTGGGTGGGCTGGGTGGCTGCAGGGGTGGTGTGGGGACGTGTCTGTGCTCGGGGCCTGTTGCAGCTCAGTCTGGGGCAGCCCTGCATTCACCAACTCAAGGGGGATTGTACTAATGGAGATTGGAGTGACGAGTGTGGGAAAAGGAAGAGGAGCGGGAAATTAAAAATAAAGCTTCTGGAAAGGAAAAACCCAACAAGATGAGAAAATAGCAGTGCTGGTTTATTCTTTCCCCGCCATCCCTCATACCTCTTAATTTATATCATCTTTTAACTATGCCAGTGAGTTCATTTCTGTTTGTGTGTGTATGCTTGTGTGTGACTGCCAGTCTGTTATCCTTATACACTGTTTTTTAAACAGGGAAGAGGGGAAGAAGAGAAATATGGGGCTGGGTTCCTCAGTTTGCTTTGATGTCAGCTTCCAAATAATTGTACTCTCATGTAGCAGTGCTCTAGATCAGGTTCTCTTAATGACAAACCAGAGTGTTGAGGGCCACGGCGCACCAAACCAAAAGTGACGCTTAGGCCAAGTGGCCTTAATGCTACTGACCTCAGGAATAGACCAGGGAAGCTGTCCAAAGTGACACCCTGCCAGCTAGCCTGGTCTTGAGCTTTCTTGTGAACCAACTTTGGACTTCAGTTTTAATAGCATATATTTGCTATTATATTTAAAACGCACATTCAGTATTCAAGTTTCAAGACAGATGACGGTAAAATAGATCAGTGCTTACTTGCAAATACCAGTCTGATATCTCAAAAGCCCAGATGTTACAGGTACCCCCATGCTGGGCCGGGTGCTGCTATCGGGAGCCCTCCTGCTGCCGGCTTACCATGCATCGTGCTGTGTAGGAGCTCTTTGCAGGGCTGGCAATTCACGGTGCAGGGTGGATTAACACTTCTACTTGATGTTATTGTAATGCTGCTAGGGCTGTCTGAAAAGCCTAAAACATTCAAGACATATGTCAGTAAAACGTTGTTCTCTCTTTGTGGAATGTTTATGTTTGAGGAAGATCTTAAGTGTTGCTTATTAATTCTTTTTTTCTTCTTCTTTTTCTCCTAGGATCCCGCAGGAATCTTTGAATTGGTGGAGCTTGTTGGAAATGGTACATATGGGCAGGTCTATAAGGTAAGGGCTGTGTGTGTGACTGAAGCGATCCTGGTTTCTTAGGCCGTGGGTTAAACATGGAGCATCCCAGTGCATCAGCTAGGTTAGGCTGAACCAGTTTCAGGCCTGACAAGAAACCTTGCTGAACTTCTGTTTTTTGGTTTGGTGTTCAAGTACTGTGTAGCATATAGAGCTCTTATAAATAAGCAATTCATATTAGTTCTGAAGCTGTCACTAAAAAATGAATCACTTTTTTTTCTCTCTCCCCTCAATTGCTTTTTATTGATTATGTGATGAGGAGGGAGTGAAGACTCTGTAGTTTAATAGATGAATCCTGATCTCTTCTGAAGAGCTGAGTTTACAGCTGCAGTAGCCTAAAAATGAGTTTGCTACAGTCTAGTGCTCTGCTCTTACCGTGAGGCTTGCACACAGGCTGGGTGCCTTACTTTCTACTTAGCAGAAACCCAGTACAGGAGGAAAAACACAAAACTCAGTAGGTTTGCTTTAACGCTTCTGTTAACATCTGGAAGCAGCCTTCTAAATGGGAATACTAAGGAGATTGTGGAGAACAGGATTTTAAACCCATAAACTTCTTTCCAAAAAATATTTAAAATGCCCACACTTTGCTAAGTTACATTGCCTCTCCCAAAGACCTTAATGTGAGAGATTTCTAGAATCTGATTTCTTGGTGGGTTTTTGTGGATTTTTGCGGGGGAAGGAGGGTGTTGAGGAGGAATTGAATTATTTCAAAGCTTGGGTTTATCTGCACTTGGTATATGATGCAGAGATGAGAGTTTAGGAAGTCACTGGTATGTTTCTTGGCACAGATGCATGTAGAATTGGCCTACAGTTTTGGGTCTTCTGGGCAACAATAGCTCCTTTGGGCCGTGTTCTCCAAAGGCTTCTGTATATGTGAACCCCAGTTCAGTATATACGTACCTGGTTGCGTGTGTGCATGCACAGGGAGCTCATATTTACATGTCATGCTTCTATTTTCTTTTGACTATACAGAAGAATATATTCATGTGCTTGTTGCCACTTGGAAGGCATAACTCTTGCCTGTCATGCACTAAAGACAATAGGCTGCCCCTAATGAAGAGAAGAAGGGAAGTGTGCTTGAAAAGCTACCTGTCAGGAAATATTTGTTCTGAATTCTGGTTTCCCCATCCTCCCACTGCTGTAGGCTAATCCCATCAAGACGATGATAGAGGAATTTAAGTGAACCGAGGATGAACTGAAACTTCTGGAGTTTAAAATGTGATTTTTTTTTTATTTTTTTTTAAACTGGAATAAGTTTTTAAAAAAAAGGCAAAAGCAAAACCCTGCTTATCGAAGTTGTTATATTCTAGGGAGCCTTCCCCTCTGCTATTTTTCTGAAGGTGATTGTTTTCCTCTGAGAGGATGATAGAACAACGGAAATAGAGGCACTTTCTCAGTTGCTGAGGCCAGCCACATGAGCTTGGTTCTAACCTGTTTTTCTTCTCAGCTGCTAAAATAATGGTAGATGGTGACCTAATTTTAACTTGTGCATATTTCTAACAATCAGTGGAAACTATGTGACTGTAACGTCCTTTTGAAAGCGTAGTGTTTTTGTGGAAAGCAGAAAAGGGAAATAAACTATCTAATGCTTGCACGGTACTTTGCACAGCTCTACTAATCATGTTTCCTGTTGCAGTATTTGATTCTTTCACGATGTCTATGTGTTGTTTTGGGGGGAGGGGGGAAGAAACATCCAGAAGCATTGAAGTGTGGATTTTCCAGGAGGTAATATATTCTGAACGCTTTGTTGTTCCCTTTTCTCATTCTGTACAAAAACAATCCTCCTCTTAACTGTTTTTAACTTACTGGAGTAATCAGATTGTCCTCCAGATGATTCACATGATACCAGTGCCAGACAGGATGATGATTGGGAGGGGGGAAAAGCTGCTGTCCAAACCAAATTAGTAAGTATTGAGTTATGAATTCATGCTAAGACTGAATTGTGAATTCACTTAAATTGAAATATTGGAATAGAATAAGTGGGCATAAACAAAAGGAAACTTTCATATAAAGCATATGTAACTGTTTAAGGTGTCCCACTCTAAAAGCTAGTGCAGAAATAAGATCTCTGTGGTGCTTTTCCACCAGATATCACCACTGTGTTTATGTCTTGCAGCCAAACAGATAGATCAATTTTCAAGACACTTAGACCCTTTGGCTCCTTTCTGAAAAATATTTCAGAAGTCTTCATTACCTAGGAAGTAGTATCTACTTCTACTATTTAGGTGGTTGTTCCACAGCCATTTTAAAGCAAGCTAATTGCGCCTGCAGTATTCCCATCCCTCTGTGCCAGTACTATCTGAGGTGTACACATCACTATCCTCTTTCGAGTTTCTGCATGTTTTCTCTCTAGTTATATTCTAGATGTGGAAAATAGACTTTATTGTGTTGCCCAGTCTGTCTCTGGCTTCCTAGGCTGGGCTTTCCTGTTTAAGCCTTGTGCATACCTATGCTACCTGTATTCCGTCTGCAGGGCTGGTTGCAGTCACACAGGAAGGGATCCACGAGCTTAGAGCTCCCAGGGAATTTGTGTCTATGTAGTCACTTGAAAGTCTTTTCCATGTTAGGCAGGGGCAGCAGAGGAGAGGATGGCCTGAAGAGCTCGTGGAGTCACCTGGGAACGTTTGAGGAAGACATACAGAATAGCTGAGACCATATGTCCCAAGAGGTGGAATAGGGAAACGAGACCTATTCTTGCTGCTTTTGCTTTGGATTTGTAGGGGAAGTCACCTCCTTTCCCAGTGCTGATCCTTCTCTCTCAAATGAGAAGACTAGCCCTCCCTTTGGAAGGTGCCACACTTGGGAAAAGGCAAAATTGAGACACTTATTTCAGGCAGGGAAGAGAATCTTATGTTTGTTTGCTGCAAATCTGCAGAAGCAGAACAATAGCCCTGCTATTCTTGCAGCAAACTTGGCTTTAACAGCAAAATCTTAACATTGCCATAGTCTTGTTTGCAAGGACGCTTTTAATCTCTGACACAGTAACCAGTCTGGCTGCTCAGGACCTAGAAAGGACTGGGTCTGAGTGGCAGGGCCTGCAAGGTTTATAGTGCAACAAGAAAACCTTCCATTTGCATTGATTAAAAAATGCATGGTTATGTTGTTCTGATGACTGAATGATGTAACAGCCTTGACAGTTGAGGATTCTGAGAAATGTTTCTTAGTACAGCAATAATAAGAGCAATCAGAGCAGTAGCATCAGAAACTGCTGTAAAAGGAGCTTTTTTTCTTTTTCCCCCTCCACCACATTTCATCATTCTTTGTTTCCCAGTGTGTGGGGGGCAATCGTGATTTTGAGGGAAGGTAATGAAAACCATAGCAAAGTGCTTTTCATATCAGCAATTTTTCCCTCTGCCTAGTCTGAGACTGCCACACACAAAAGAGAATTTCAGAACTGTTGGTGTCTTACACGTTTTAGTTGAACGTGGGTCCAGTATGACATCACTGTGAAGCACCTTTTTTTTTTTTCTCTGTGTCACGTGAGACAGGGAAATACAACAGACTAAGTTGCTGATGGCTTTTAGACATTGTCTCTAGAAGATCCTACGTGGTGATGCCGTACGTTACTTACTAATGGATGGTCTCAGTAGTTGCATCCTATGGACAACTTACAGGTCAATGTCTGTAAGGTTGTTTCGAGTCGCAAAAGTCAAAAAGATATTTAATGTACCTAGTATGGAAATGCAAGATTCAAGCAGGTGGTCGCGCAGCTCTAGTGTGGGAGTTCTCCGCACTTGATTCTGTTCTCTAGCAGAACCAAGTTCGTACCCAGACTTTCTGGGCCATGGGCCGTTATTTCTCAAAAGACGTTGAGTTCAAACTTTTCAGGTAGAAGCACTACCAAGCATTGTGTCCCATGACCAACTCTAGACTGTTTATGATTGTTGGTTGGTCATGGAGCAACCTCAGAAACAATGTTTTTTAGAGAGTTTGGGTAGCCCCTGCCACGACACATTCCTTTTCCATGACTAATATGAGAACAGATAAGGTGGCCAAGTCTGGTGCGTGTGAACAGCTCCCGAGGGGAGTGCACAGCCTCTGCTGAAGCCGGGGCTGCTACGTCCTGTCTCCTCTCACTACCAGCGCTAGGGTGAAGCTAGCTGCCCGAGTTGCTTTGATCCTACTTTCTGGGTCTTGATTTGAAGATACCATTAAGGAGGTGTACGATGCTTGCGTAGATCAAAGCCTCTTTCTCTGCGGCTTGTGCTCCTGAGGGAAAGGTAGCTTGTTTGGATTTATCTCTGTATTTTCAGGTAAGGGCTTTCTTTGCTCAAGGACTGCAGGTTAAAGAATTGCTTTGGTGATTCCCTGGAGTACCTGCAGGAGAGTGAACCTCAGACTTGCTTTGGCTATACATCAGTGACAGCTGAATGCTAGAAACAGCCTTATCAGTAACCTATTCCTGTACCTCTCCTCTAGCCACAACTGGAGGCTTTGGCTTCAAGTAATTGCAGAGAGAATGAATGTTCCTTGTTCACTGCCTAGCAATCTCCTGTGAATAGCTTGGTTTTTATTTTGATGAGAGACCACGTTGGTGATGGTTTCTCTCTGTAATTGAATTGGAAGTATTTCTTTATTTTCTAATAATCCTGCATCTAATGGAACAGATCGTGAACTGATTTTGACAAAAGGCTGAGCGCTTGCTCATTGCAGTTTAAGACATTGTTGCAGTATGGGATTTTTGTGATTCTTGAATTTTTTTTTTTTTCCCCCTAGGCGTTCAAAGAAATGGCTAACAGGACTATAATGAATTGGTCTTAGGGAACTGAGCCTCACTGCTTTTCAGTGGGTATTTGATGACTGAAAGCAAAACTTTCAACACAAAATCACTAAACCACCTTTAGAGCATTATCTAAAGTGGATGGAAATGCTTCTTATATATTGCATAATATTGTTATTACCATTTATCTCTACTTTGCATTAGAGAGCAAGCAAAAGGTTGTTAAAATACTAGGCATGCTTACGATTGCCTAGATAAATCA